GAAGAAATCAAAGCTGCACTGTACGATAAGTTTTGAGGTTTGCCTCAGTTTCAGAGGTCTTTTTACTTAAAAGTTTTAGAAGTACTTAAAATCTCACATCTGTGGGTTAAAAATTTTTTTTTTTTTAATTTTAACTTTGTCTTAAAGTGCCACATTTCACTTTAGACATCTGTTTCAGTTCATAATGAGTTACCTGTAAATGTTCCCGTATGAAATGAGAGGGTCATATTGTTCTCACTTTTGTGCAAAGGTTATTCAGACCTGGATGAGATGCCGTTGGCTTATTTGGATAGACCGTCTTCCCCAATACATCGTTCTTCCTCTAGTGCCTTCAAGCACGGCACCTTCCAGTACCCTCGTGCCATACTGTCCGTCGACCTCACCGGGGAGAGTAAGTCCTCTCATTGATTTGCAGCCTTTTGTAGCTACTTTCCAATAATGTTATCATTTCAGCTGTAGCTTCCAGCCATTAAATTTGATGTTCTGTAGCTAATAGATAGAAGTCAGCATGAATATGGTATCAGTGGTGTGCTGTGATGTTGAGCCTCATTTCATGTCCTACTTCCTTTTCCTATCTCAGACCTGTCAGACATCGACTTCCTGGAAGACTCTACCACTGAGAGTTTGCTGTTCAGTGGAGATGAGTATTACCAGGATCTAGACTCGATCACTATGGAGGACTTCCAGGATGAGGATGATGATGGTGCCGATGAAATTGTTCGCTGCATCTGTGAGATGGATGAAGAAAACGGCTTCATGATTCAGGTAGGATTACTCTTAGTAAATACCACCTGATAAGCTTTGAAAGTAGTTTTTATTCTGTCTGTAAACACAGAGTTTCATGCAAGAATATGTGCTGATTTATGGTGTCTTTGTCTTGAATCTGTTGTCTGAAGAATTGCAAAACTTTTCTGATAGCATATCTCTCTCTGTACAGTGTGAGGAGTGTATGTGCTGGCAGCACAGTGTGTGTATGGGGCTTTTGGAGGACAGCATCCCCGATCACTATATATGTTACATCTGCAGAGACCCCCCAGGTAACAATACTCTGCAACAATACCGTGCACAAAGGGTCAGCATGATTTTGTAGCTTTATCTTCAACTTTATCCAGCTTACTAAAGATGTCATATCTGTTTCTTAAATGGAAATTAAGTTTATGTAAATATAAAACTGAAATTGCTCCAAACTATGTATTTTTTTTTTCAGGTCAGAGGTGGAGTGCTAAATACCGCCATGATAAAGACTGGCTACAGAAGGGCCACATGTATGGCCTGTCCTTCCTCACAGAGAACTACTCGCATCATAATGCCAAGAAGATCGTGTCCACTCACCAGCTGCTTGCTGATGTTTACAGTGTTAAAAATTTGCTCCATGGCCTTCAGCTGAAGATGGATATTTTACAGTAAGAGACACTTTGCCTTTCCTGAAGCCTACCAAATTATTTAAATTAGGTGACATTGTGGAAAAAAACATATTAACTACCATAACAATTTTCCAAAATGAATTGTTGTTAAAGATGGGTTAAGCTAGGGCAGGGCGATAAACTATATCTTACCCAGATTGTGATAAAAGTTATGTTAATAATGATGAGAAGATGTGGACATTTTTTCTCAATAAGGATTAATCTAATGTCCTATAACTGCAGAAATAAACACAGCATCAGCCAGTCAGTGCAAACACACACTCAGTGTTTCAAGCATCTGACGTCTCAATATACGAGGACAGTCCACATGAACTTAATCTCCAGAGCTTTACTGAGAGTTCACTTCACAAGCTTTTTCACCATTTCATCTGAGAAAACCTATAAATGCACACTGAAACTTAAAAATCTTCATGACAAACTAAAAGTTTGGAAACACAGAAATACAGTATATTACTATTGTATACCAAGATGTTCTTAATATTACTATTTTTAAGGAATATCATTCAACCAAGATTTGTTTTATCCAACCATTTTCAGTATTTTTGTATTAAATAAACCATAGAATCCAGAAAAAAATCAAATGGAAAACAGAATTTAGGGACAAAAATCAGATGGATTAATTTAAGTTATTTTTGCATTCATTCTTAAGGTCTAACAAGCATGTTGAAAGCGTTTCTTTTCTCATTAATTAATGAGAATGAGTAAATTAATATCGTGATGAATATTGATATTGCATGACATGGAAAAAATATTATGATAATATTTTTGGCCATATTGCCCAGCCAATTTTGAATTTAATTTGATTTGTGTAACAATGATTGTGCAATGGTTGAGTTGAGTTTTTAGGCCTGTTTTCCAAAGCTGTCAGGTTTTGAATTGATCTTCTGATATATTACTGTAGAAGAAAAGATGCAGGAACAATAATACACTTTTAACATATTCTCAGGAACAAACATAACCCAAGTTTGCACTTGTGGGCCCGATCTTGGGTGAACTCTGATGAGGACCAGCCTATGGGTGGCGTTCCAGACTGTCTACATTTCAAAGAGCATCTCAACCTGAACTCAAACCCTGAAACTTATATTACCAGCGAACACAGCTATCAGAAACCTCCCGGTACAGGCCTCGAACGCACAAGGGATGAGCAGGGGATGCAAACAGCCTCTCAGTTTAACCGAAAGGAAGAAGAGGTAACCAAGGGACAATTAAATCTCAGATCTGGATAGGGTCAGTATGTGAAAGGATATGGAGTTTGAAATCTGTGCTGTTTATGGCTTGTGCAGGTGAGCAGTGCCATTGCTCTGTCTGGCTGTGTGAATGACAGCGGTCTGGGCTCCATGGAGCAGGCCAGGAACTGTCTGCAGTGGCAGATGAACCTGCTTACACACATAGAGGATGTTCAGAACCAGCTGTCTGGCCGTATGGACCTTATTGAGAAAGAGCTTGATGGTAAGGGGCAGAAATATGGGAAGTGCCGTTATCGAATCAAAACTATATTTAATGCCACATGACCAGGGCTGGTTGAATTCTTTTCTGTGGTCTCACAGAAGAATGCCATCATGAGCTTATTAAGTTGAGTTTAAAAGGCTTGCTCATGAGTTGTGATGGCTAATGTTTTTATCCTTTGTGAAGATTTAACCAGAAACATTTTGCTTGCTTTTGCCATTAAAATCACCAAAGCGGAGATGCCTATTTTTGATATTTTGTAAAGGTTTCATTCTTTTTCTCCCTATCTGTATGAAGTGCTCGAGAGTTGGTTGGACTTCACAGGAGAATTGGAGCCCCCTGATCCCCTGGCCCGACTCCCACAGGTCAAGTGCCGCATCAAACAGCTTCTGACAGACCTGGGAAAAGTGCAGCAGATGAGCACCCTCTGCTCTGTGTGATACACACATTACAGTGTGTGTTCTGAGCTTCTAACATAACCTCTCGTTTCTTCACACACAACGACGTGTGAGAAGGTTTATTCAACATGATTCTCCTTTGTAAAGTAAAACATTGGCCATCACCATGTACGACAAAAGGAAAATTCACACTTAATGTGTGAAACAGGAAGAGGTCAGTGCATTCATGCGGAGTCAAAACATATCTGCTTAAAGAAGATTTTGCTTTCCAAAATAGGAAGAGCTCACTATAGCAGATTCATTCTTTCACATGTTAAGAGAAGGGATTGTTGTCTATTTAAAAAAAAAAAGACATCACAAAACCACACAAATTTAGGTTTTAACTTCTTTATTTTTATTTTTTTGCATCAGTTAGACCCCCAAAGCAAATCTAGTCTGTATTTCCACTCCGTGAGCTTAAGGAAATTTTAACTTGACTGAAGTGGGTCACTGATAGCAGACTGTTTAAGAGTTCATTAGCGTTTGAGGAAACAAAATCTGGTTATAAAGTTTTTTTGTCACTTAAAAAGTCACTTTAAAGTGCCAAGAAAACAGACCACTGTGGTCTTTTTTTTTCTTTTTTCTCAGACATGCACAGTTCAGGATTTATACGTTTTTGAAATGGATTTTGCATTTTAGGCCAGGATTGGGCTTATTTGCAGTCTGATACACTGGTACTAAAGGTTCACAATGCCTACTAGCTCATTAGACCAACACCTAGACAGTTTTCACACATCAACTTGTCTAATACTTTAGCATGTTTCTCTACAGTCTTGATGGATACTGTAGCGATTCACAAGAAAACAAACTACTCTAACTTAATCCAGGATGTCCAGAAATAGGCGACTCTTCTCACTAAGGTCTGTTTATCACGTTGATACTTTGAGAGTTGCTACCGTGAAGTAAGCTAATCCTGAGATGGATGTAAATGCATATAATAAATCCATTTAGTTCAGTTATTTTTATTTTTATTTTTTTTACGTATAAACAGTTTTTATAACTGTAAGGAAAAACAATGGAAAAACTAAGGCATAAGAGGATAATACTTGAAAATGCCTGTTTAATCTCCATTTCTATTAATCTGTACAGAGTGTTTTAGAATTTAGATTTAAAACTTGAAGTTTCTTTAGATGAGAAATACCAGCTGTACATTTAAAGCGTTTATTTAAAGACCTGATGTAATTATCTGTATGTACAACTTCATTAAAAAATATTCTCAACTTTTTTTGTGTATGGTCATTGTTTACACTTCCTTTATGCAATAATGTTCATATGTAAATATGAATTTGTGTTCTCTGGGGGGGAAAAGTTTTAGGTCGTATTTGTTTTCTTTTAAATGTTTCTACAAAGTATTTTCCTCTTTATAGAAGTATTGGGCAACAAAATAAGAGAAGTTACTTCACACAGCTTTATTCTTCTCTGTTGAAAGTGCTTTTCAGATGACTGGTGTTGCTGGTTCTTCTCAAATAAGCACTCTCAAAAGTTCAAGCTTGGCTGCTCGCTTTACAATGTCCAAAATGTTCTTATTCACCACCAGGTACTCTAACCAGGCTGGAGAGGTTTGTGTTTTGATAGTTAAATCCGTAAAATGGCAAAATGCTGAACAGGTATGACGATGCACATCTTGGATATGGTATAAAAGACACTGCAGTCTTGTAGCATTCACTAGGAGAGTTCTTGCATCCTAGAGAAGATGCAGAACATGGAAGAGATGAAGCTCCTTTGTGTAACCTACGCACTGCTTAGCATCTTCTCTCTGACGTATGGAAAGATTTCAGGTGAGTGTCCGGTCTATTCACAACAGCTTTGTTTATTCTAATTCTCTATAGGTTCTGTATTTAGGTTTCTATGGTTTCTGAAACTCATCCACCTGTTTCTTCCCCTCAGAGTACCAGCTGGAGACCGAGAGTCTGAGTCAATGTGAACAGCTCAGGGCTGTCAGTTCAATGCAGGGACATGAGCACATAGCCCAGTGCTCTGAGGACGGCCGATTTAGGTGCATTAACTTGACCGATATTATATATGATATTATTACATAAATGCACCATGGTATGTTATGGTAAAGTTTGAAAAAAAAAAATAATGGCATCCTTGTAGGCATGTTCAGTGTAATCGTGGAGGCGGGGAGTGTTGGTGTGTGAATGTAGAAGGACTTGAGATACCTGGGAGTCGACAAAATGGATCCACGGTTCATTGTAAGTCATTCTTCATATTTCAACTTCAACATGTCCAGCATTACAAAAAGTTGCTTTACTAACTGTATTTTGATCTATTAAATGCATCCTGTCCCCTCTCTATAGGTTTAACCTCGTGCCAGCTCCAGAGACAGCAGGCCCTGCGAACTGAAGGCATCACACTGGTGCCAGCATGTTTGGACTCAGGTGAGTTCGAGCCGGTGCAGTGTGATGCGTCCCGTGGCCAGTGCTGGTGCGTGGACCAAGAAGGCATGGAGATCTATGGAACCAGGCAGAACGGAAAGCCCTCAAAGTGTGAGTGCATTTATTAAGTGTTGTATTAATTTAACTCCCTGGATGCATTGGTTGAACTGTTCAGATGAGTCTCTGAAAAAGCAAGATTTTTACCTGCTTAGATTTGTTTAAATAGCTGTGAATTTTACATTTCTGGATGACGCAGAAATGGATATTCTGCTCTTTGACATCAGATTTACTGTACAATGCGTCTTAACCCTTGACCTTAGGTCCTGGTACTTGTGAGGTAAGACAGCGGCGACTCCTTCATGGTATCGGAGAACCCTCTCCCCCTCAGTGCTCAGATGACGGGGGCTTCTTACCTGTGCAGTGCAAGTTTGTCAACACCACTGACAGAATGATATTTAATCTGTTACACACCTTTAACAGGTGAGACATGTGGTTTACCGTTCAAAAGTTTGAGGTTGGTAATATTTTATTTGAGCCAAAATACAGTACAACAGCTATATTGTGAGATATTATTATAATTTAATATTGCAGAATATATTTTAAAATGTAATTTATTCCTGTGATGGCGAAGCTGAATTTTCAGCAGCCATTATTACAGTCTTCAGAGTCGCATGATCCTTCAGAAATCATTCTAATATGTTCATTTGGTGCTCAAGAAACATTTCTTATTACTATCAATTAGTTGTGCTGCTTAATATTTTTATGTAAACCGTAATAAAAAAAAATTTCAGGATTCTTTGACGAATGGAAAGTTCAAAAGTACAGCATATAAAAAAAGTATTTTGCTAAATTTTAAATGTCTTTACTGCCTTTTTTTTTCATTCGAATATGTCTTTGCTGAATAGAAATATTAATTAAAAAAAAGTATATATACCTAAAAAAAATTACTGACCCTAAACTTTTGAATGGTAGTGTATATTATTCTGTAATACTAAAACTGAAAATTGCTAAATAAAGGTTATTTTCTCATATAAAGTTAAAATTTAATTGAATTAATAGAGATTCACTTCCAAAAGCTTTTTTTAGCACCACAATTCTGTATCTGGGAAAGCAGCCCAAGCTGTACATAATTAACCATTAGATATCAGTATTGTATCAGATAGAAGAAGCATGTATAACGTTTTTTCCTGATTTTCCACTCTTCTCTAACAGTTTTTAAATGCATCTGCTACAAGTGACTAATTTAATTGAAATTTCTTTTACTTTAACAGAGACCCAGAAGTGTTCCAGACATTCAGTGCTTTCAGAAAGGCCTACCCAGAGCTCTCTAGTTATTGTTTCTGTGCAGACAGTCGTGGAAGAGAGATGCCAAGCACAGGTGATACACACCTCTTCAGTTACATTCAAGTTAAAGAACTGGACCAAAAGCTTGTTGGTTTATACACTGCAAAGAGTGATCCATAAACTATCACCGTTGCGAGCGGTGCCCTTTTTTGCCCTTGCAGAACACTGAACCTCTGTTTGCCCCAGGGCAACTATGATTCTGAGTTGTCATTAGTTTTCCCTGATCAAGTTGTGACATTTTGTGTGCTGTTAAAAAGATGAATTGTTTTGAGTTTGGTTTGTGTAGGTGTGGAGTTGCTGTTGGATGAGGTGTACGACACTGCGTTTTCAGACCAGACTGCAGGAAGTACATTTGCACAGTCAAACATGTATCGAATCCTACAGCGTCGCTACCTTGCCGTCCAGCTGGCCGTGAGCGGGAGATTTAGATGTATGCAGCATTTTGTTAAAAAGCAAGCCACTATAATGATGTCATACACTGCAAAAAAATAATTTTCTTAATCAGTGTTTTTGCCTTGTTTTCCAGTTAAAATATCTAAATATTCCTAAGGATATGCATTTTTGGTTTTCAAGTAAATTTAAGATACATTTATTAAGTTTAAGTTTATTTTTCTTAAATAATGTTATATATATGTGTATATATATATAAAATAATATATATGCGTATGTGTATATATAAATATGTATATGTGTGTGTGTGTATATATATATATATATATATTATTTTTTATTTTTTATTTTTTTGCTAGAATTAACAAATTTTTTTTATTTTTTTATTAATAAACATTTGTTTCCTGTACATGTAAAGATAGAATATGGGAAAAAATAGTAGTTGTTGTTGCAGTGCAGGACCAAGATCTACCCATCAGCATTTACTTGATACATCCGTATAATAGTACAGGTACTTACCCAACTCTTGTTCTTTTTATAAGGTCCCACCCCATGTGAGAGCGAACGGGCCGCAGCTACTCAGGCTGGCAATTCCTTTGTACCCTCCTGTATTGATAATGGAGCATATGTGTCAACCCAGTGTCAGTCCAGTGGCCAGTGTTGGTGTGTGGATACTGATGGCAAAGAGATCTTTGGCACACGCCAGTATGGAGTACCAAATTGTAGTGAGTTTGGCCTTTGTGCGTATTTAATGGAATATTCATTATTATGTCCCATGATGCCTCTTTAGCATTTTAGCTTGTTTGAGTGATTTAGCTTTTAGCTTGTTTGAGTGATTCAGAATGGAGTTTGTGCACTGACTAATGTTGTGTTTCTTGTTTGTTTAGGCACTGAAGTGAAGGACTGCCTGTCTGAGAGGAGGCAAGCCCTCTCCAGGCTTTTTTATGGCCCAGCTGGAGACTTCAGCAAGAGCAACGTGTTCTCCATTTCCAAAGACACCCTCTCTTTTCTTGGTACTTGCAGTCCTGAATTCCAGGAGCTTTTGGCCAACTCTGGTCTTCTTCAGTCGTTGCCAGAGTTGGAGCGTCCAAATGTCGGAGACATCCTGGCAGAGGTCCTCCAAGGGATGTTTCCCTCTGGGGCTCTTGCCCTGAAAGCTCTTGCTCTTGCCCCGAATCCCAAGAGACTCCAGGAGAATCTCTTTGGAGGAAAATTCCTAAAGAGCGCTGGCAATTTCAACTTCACCGGCACTGTTGGAAACAGTGGTACATTGAGTTTCAGTCAAGTTTTCAGTCAAGTTGGTCTGATGCAAGCTGTGACCGACTTGATGCAGTTGGCCAAGACAGTTACAGATGACTCTGCCAGTCTTAATCTAGACCAAGAGATTTCTGATGCATTTGGTCGTTCGGTGAACCTGAAAAACAACCGAGATATGATTAAACTTGTTTCAATGGCTCTTGAGAACGAGCAATTTCTCACTGTCCTTCGAGAAGCAATCAAACAGTTGAAGGCAGAAGAAAGCAGCCAGTTGGGTCAACTGTTTCGTGCCATTTTCCGGAAATCAGATGTTTGCAAGTCTGTGACTTCAACCTCGACTCTGTATGTGCCCCAGTGCACTGAGGATGGACGATACCAGGAAGTTCAATGCCAGGGCTCAGAGTGTTGGTGTGTGGACTCTCGTGGTCTGGAAATAACAGGTTCTCGCACCACTGGGTCCAGACCGAGATGCTCATCCCAGTGTGAGAAAGAACGTCAGATGGCTTTTGCAGTCAAAGCCAGCAGTTCTGCAGGATCTGAGGTCTTCATTCCTAAATGTGAGACTGATGGTGCTTACGTTGCACGTCAGTGTCTTGGCAAAAGTTGTTTCTGCGTGGACCGTTCTGGAACAAAACTCAGCATTCAGAGTTCAGGAAGCTCTCTTCAATGTGAGTGAATGCTAAACACATGATTAATTCCAAAGCCAGAGAGGATCATTCCTGTATTCATGCATTTAATTAGACACACATTCAATGATCTGGCACATATGTAATAAAAACAACTGGCCAAACATCTCAATTATGCATTATAGAGACTTTGTTATTTTGTTTTATGGAGCTTAAGTGCTTTCAGTTTTACAAGGTATCTTCTCAAAGGTTAGTTATTTGCTTTTTATTTTTTCACACATAAAATTGCCAGTGTATACATTTGGCTTAATATTGAACACATGCCAGGGTCAGTCTTATGTAACCTACAGAAAAATGGGAGAAAAAGGGACAATTTTGTACCTTATCTACCCCTGAAATATACATATTAGTACCATAGAGGACTACTATGAATCTTTTAGGGTTCTCGTAATTGTGACTTTATGCTTATTCCCGTAGTTTAAAATGTAGAGCATAAAACCATCTGCCAAATGCATAAATATAAATGTAAAATCTTCCAATTTTTTTACGACTTAATATCTTGTCATAGCAACTTCATATCTCAAAATTTAACCTTTAGGTCTTTATATCTCAGATTTCCATAATGAGCAACTACAGAAACCAAAAAGCAAGATGTAATCATATTAACAGTGATTATTCAAGTCTGAAATGTAAAAGTTAGATTATGACTTTTTAATATTTGTTATGATTTAAATGGTTAAATTAAGTAATATTTAAATTATATACTCATTGTATATCATGCTTTATTGATATTCCTCTTTAGGTCCAACAAGCTGCCAGGCAACAGCGACCCAACAATTCCTGTCCACAGTCCGCTCTGTTTTCTCTGATCCATCTTCTATAACCCAGCTTTCTGAAGTGTATATCCCTCGTTGTGCCTATGATGGCAGCTGGCATCAGATCCAGTGTGATGGACCTCCAGAACAAGCAATTGAGTTCTACCGTGAGTGGGTTCGGATCATAAATTCCGGACAAGACTTGCCCGTTTCAGAAGTTCTCGGAATTCTGCGAGCCTTTGCAAGAAACACAGAAGCAATGTCTTCATTCAGAGTCTTTGTATCGGAATTGTTCAAAGCTGGGCAACATCGAGTGTTCCCTGTCTTGGCAAGATTTGGGAAGTTCTCTGATATTCCATCTGACATTTTAGATGGGAACATTGAGGCCATTTATGGACCATCAGTTTTCCTGAATCCGTTATCGTTATGGAGACTGATCAGAGGAGAGGATTCCGGTTATCCAGGCCCGCTATCAGATTTCAGTCTTCCTCTTGGGAGCTTTCACCTGCGTCAGTGCTGGTGCGTTAACCCTCAAGGAGACATGCTAGCAGATAGCAAGGCTCCTGTTGGACAAATCTCCAAATGTGAGTTATACACTATAGTAATTAATGCATGTAGTGCCATTACTATCATATCTGCCACATCTTTTCAAATATTTCTTTATAATTTATTTAAATCATCTTCCTAAGATCTCTTTTGTGTGTCTCTCCAGGTCCAGGTCCATGCTCTATGGTTCAAAACCAGGTCTCTGAGTTCCTGAAGCAGGCTGAAGAGCTAATCTCTGCTTCAAACAACTCACATGTGCCTGTGGGTTATGGTTTTCTCCCGGCTGAGAGTGTCTATCTGAGCCCTGAGGAGCTGGAGCAGATGCGCACCTCAAAGATCCCCGTCACTCAGACTCTGCTGAACAACACCAACTCTGCGCTGAGACTCGCAGCTCATTCCAGTACAGTCTTTTGTTTAATCTGTCTCAAAATAAAAGTTCAAAAAACTGCAGAAGAAAGTATAGTAGGATTCAAAAGTCTGAGACAACATCTGAAAAACCTGGAAATAAAGGTTTTTGAAAATAATGTCATTAAATGTATAAAATAAAATACCTATATTTAAGAGTACAGAGAATTTCTGTCTCTATATGAGCTAATTTGTGTCACTGATCATGTGACTTATTAAACATTTGGACCCCACTGTAAATTCTTCAGATGTGCTTTGTTAGTAAACTCTGCCTACTCATTCCAGTTATTTTAAAAAAAAGCTGTAAGGTTAGGAGAGGACACATCTGAGATGTGCTGTAATGCTTTACCCACACTAAGACTTAATTTGCTTTCACTTCACGACAGCCCTACATTTCTACTGGCAGAGCAGACTGATGGCCAATGACAAAGACAGACAGAGTTTAATGCTGGGATACCAGCCCTACATCCCACAGTGCGACACTTATGGCCAGTGGCTGCCCAATCAGTGCTACCAAAGCACAGGTGAGACCATACTTCGTCTTTTTGATCGTGATCACCGGACTTCATGTGAAAGGCTTGTCACAAACTACATTTTACAGTAAATGTAAATTATTCCTGTGATTGCCAAGCTGAATTTTCAGCATCATTACTCCAGTCTTCAGTGTCATATGATTCTTCAGAAATCATTCTAATATGCTGATTTGCTGCTTGTCTTATTATCATTGTTGAAAACAGTTGTGCTGCTTAATATTTCAGCGGAAACTGTGATTAATACTTTGATGAATAGAAAATTAGAAAGAACAGCATTTATTTGAAATAGATTTTTTTTGCAACAATCTGAGTTAAAAAATCTTTACTGTCACCTTTGATTCATTGCATCCTTGCTGAATAAAAGTATACATTTCTTATAAATAATAATAATCTTACTGATGGCAAACTTTTGAATGGTAGTGTATATTTTTGTAATATTTCAATTTACTGCATTCTTGCTGAATAAAAGTATTAATTTCTTTAAAAAGAATCTTAGTGACATTACAAAATGTGCAGTATTAGCAGATAATTTTCTTCTAAGTTTGTTTTTTGCTCTGTTTGATATCACAGGTCACTGTTGGTGTGTTGATGAGGAGGGAAGATACATCACAGGCTCTCTGATGTCTCGTTCTGCACCCTCTCGGCAGTGTGAGAGTCCAATCACATGTTTATCTATAAACGTTTTAATAATAATCAAAAAAGTTATTCTGACTACTCATTTCAGTTCTGTTGTTTGTGATTTAACTTCTTGATTGTGAATATGTAAGCTGATTTGTAAAAATTTGTCCCCCAGGCCAAACTACGTGCCAAAGGCTTCAAAGCAACTTCCTGCTCTCTGATTGGACACAAACAAGCTCTAATATCACTTATACATACAGCCCATCATGTGAGGAGGTGAGGCTTTCTGTTTGGGTGTTTTGGATTGTATTGTACATACAAAAGACATTTTGTGGTAACCACTGAAGATTTGCATTTCATATTTGTCTGTCTCATTGTGTGTGTGTGCGCGTGCATGTCTGTAGTACGGTGAGTTTTCGATACTCCAGAAGCCCGGTTCAGTCCATTCACAGGGGTTGTGCGTAAGTCCTATAACCGGACAAGTCATCCAACCTGCCATCACCAGTCCTTCTGGAGAACTGCAATGTAATTGTTTCATCCATTCATCTGTACAGTGTGATTTATTACAACATGTTCTTGGATCAACAACCTCATTTGGTCAAATTTATTGTCAATCGATCACAAGCCTGACCCTTTCCCTACTGCTATATTTAAATTCATATTCAATTTTAATTCAGCTTGGCCACCACAGGAACAAATTACATTTTAAAATATTTTAAAATAGGAAGCCGTTATTTAAATTTTTTATAATATTTCACAATATTACTGTTTTTACTGTATTTTTGATTGAATAAATGGAGCCTTGGTGAGAATAAGAGAATTTTTCAAACACAATGCAAAAATGTAAATATTCCAAACTGTTGACTTGTAGTGTATAGTTAATATTAATTATTGTTAATAGAAATGCAACGCTGTACATATCATCACATGGGGACATGATTCAAAAGTTGAGAATCTTTGTCCGATCTCAGAAAATATCTGACTGGTTGATAGTAATTTTGTTCCAGCACCAACATTCAGTACCATGCGAGGCATTGAAAAAATTGTCATGTCAGACCCATGTTGTGTGTTGTAGGTCCAGGTTGGTGTTCTCTACAGAAAACTCTGGCATTGCAGAGAGAGATCGGTGTGGGCTATGAGCCTCAATGTGTGCAGGACGGGCAGCGATTCTCACCCCTGCAGTGTGACCTGTCCTACTGTTGGTGTGTTTCTCGAAGTGGAAAGGAACTGCCAATGACACGCACCAACCGCAGCACAGGACAAACCCCAGCCTGCGACAGTAAGTAAATTAGGTCACATTTTGCATTTATCTAAAGTTGTGCCATATGCTTGTGGCAACATGATTTCCCTTATTTGTTTCCCTTTCCAGTTTCTGAGTGCCCCCTTCCATTTGGAGATATTTCCCATGGTGCTGTTCTGTGTAGCACTGGGATTGTTGTGGGTCAGCAGACGCAGCGCTGTGAGCTGTTCTGTGACCAAGGTTATGTCAACACCCTTCCTGTCACCAGCTTCCTGTGTGATCCCCAGGCGAAAAACTGGCTTGATGATGCTCCACTGTCCTATGCCTGCCAAAGTAAAGGCCACATACAGACACACACATTGTCCTATTTACCTGTTGAAACACTCACAGGTTGTTGCAGTATGTCCTTTCGGGATTTGTCTTTCTATGAAATCTTGTTGCTCTAATTACACTCTATCTGTTTGTACTGAGCAACTGAGTGTCTGTGATGTCCATCAGAGCCTCAGGTTGTGCAGACAGTGCAGGTGTCCTTACAGCTGAAGCTGCCCCTGGCTGAGGGTCAGCAGAGTTGCAGCAGCCAGAGTGTTGAGCTACGGGCTGCTTTGCTGCGAGACATGAGAGCTACAGGCCTCTGCAGCCTACAGGTACAATCCAGTCTGTTAAGTTACAGGGGTTCTGATTTTGATGGGTTTTGATGCCCAGTTTTGATGTACATAATGGTTCCTTTGTGAGGAATCCACTTCCCACTTTTTTCCCACTTTTATTCCATATTTCCATGTATAAAAAAACTGTGAAGGCAAGAAAAAAGCAGCAGCAGCATAATATTATAAAGACACCATGTTTTAAAATCAAATAATTGTCTTTAATTTTGTCATTCTACTAAAGAGAAAGCAAATTGTTAAAATGTATTCTGAAAATATTTATATTGTATTTAGTTGGCAGTGTATCGTTTTATCTAACCACTAATGTGTACAATATTAAGTGTTTAAATGTGTAATATTGTGTAACGTGTTAAATGCTTAAGCTTAAAAATAATTAAATTGATTTTATTTATATTTTTTATTGTTAAAACCATGGTTGTCAATAGAATAAAATAGGCATTATTTTTGGTAAATATGGCAAAATAATTGTAATATCAAAATTTGTATTAAAAAAAAAATTTATGATTTGGTTAAAAATATGTATTTAATATCTTAAGTTAACTTTGACAGCCCTAAAAATTACATTTTGTAAAAAAAAATTATAATCCATAGACCCCTGGGTATTACGGGGCCCTTAAGAGGACATGGTCATAGAAAAAAATATGGGATGTGAGGAAAAAATATATTTGTCTGCGCTCACAAATGTTTTGCGTTCCCTTGAGAAAATTTGTTTGCTCACAAATTAATTTTTGCATTCTTTGTGAGCAAATGCCAGATTTTGTGGAAACACCAAACTTTTGCAAGTGAACACAAACTTTCTTTGGGGAACAAAAAACTTTTCTGAGCGAATTCAAAACAATTGAATATACTTTTTCCTCCCATCTCATATTTTTTCTCTCACCATGTTCCTTTAGAGGCTACGTAAGGTATCACCGAATCCCAATTTGAAAACCCTGTGTTATTAGTCTGCGAGTGTCATATTTAATATGTAGGTGTCATTGGCTTGCAGTACAGCATTACAGCACTTTTATTAAAAAGACATTCAGAAACCAAGGGCTTTTATTCATTTATGCTTTGTCTTAGTTTAATTGTCTTGATATGTTGCATCAATGCATGTCTGTTTAATTTGCTTGCTTGTTTATGTGTCTTCATATGTGTTAGCTGACCTTATCTGGCCAGACCAGCTCTGTTGCAGTCTGTGACGAGTCATCTGTGTCTCTTGAGTGTTTGAATGACAAGGAAGTCACTGCACACATCACCTTTAGGGCCAGACTCTCCGACCTGCCAATAACATCTCTCCCTGATCTCCATGACATTGGTGTGAACAGCTTTATTGCACCTTATTTAGTCCATTTCTGTTCACGTACCATATTTGATATCTAAAATCAGATGCATTTAATTTCACACTGACATTACACTGAATTATTAATGTTTATTATTCCATGCGCTTTCTCTCAAAATAAATGCATGTTTATTTTTCAGATATGGCACTTAGTGAGGAGAGGTTGTTAAATGGCGTGAAGGAATTAATCCAAAGTGGGTCATACCGGTCCATCTTCCTCTATGACCGTTCTCTCGCTCTTTCTATTCCTCCCTCGTTTAGCTGCATGGATGGCTATAAGCAGCTCCCACAATCCACTGGGTGTGGTAGGTTGGCTTCTGTACTACTTGGTTGTCTTAATGACAGACTAGCCTGTGTACAATAAAGCGAAATGTCTTTACTAGTGTTTCCGAATATGCACCTATAAAGTTTTCTATAACCAATGCATATTTTAGCTTACTGGCATAGAAATGTGGTGTGCAAAATGTGTAAACGTATACAACTTTTCCTCCTCTATTATTAATCTTTGTTCTTTATCTGTCAAACTCTCTCCTCTTTTTCCATTCAACACCATCATTACCCAAGCTTAATCACTCCACTCCCTGTGTGTTTTTATCCTCTCTCACACGCAGCGGTGTGTCCAGCTGGTTCTTTTTCTAGTGGTGGTGTGTGTACTTCGTGTCCGCGTGATACATTTCAAGCGGAAGAAGGGCAGGTCTTCTGTTCTCCCTGCCCCTCGGGAACATCCACTGTGGCCCAGGGAGCCTTCAGTGCTTCTCATTGTGAGTACAGGCCAAGCCCAACACACAAACTCAAGAATAGCAGGTGTAGATGGTTGCAGTTATGCATGGCAGCTCTGTCAAAATGTAGATCACAGGATTTAGAGGCAAATGAGTGATTAAATGATTTTTTTTCATGGTGTAAAGCCTTGTTTTCTATTTGTCCTCTCGATATCTTGATATTCTTAAGGTCTTACTGAGTGCCAGCAGAGTAAACTGAGTTGTACAAAGAAAGGGGAATTCCTGTCAGCCCAGAAGGACCCCATGTCTGGCAGATGGTTGTGTCTCTCTTCACAGGGGGAGGAACTTTCCTGGACATCTTCTGATGCTCCAATGACTGTTGAAGAGTGCAAAGGTATGTGCTACAGTCAGTGTTAGGGGAGGAACTAACTAAAAATAGCGATGCTACTAACTTTTAAATTTTAAATAGTGTGACAGTTAATTGCAGTTGGGGCAGTCGTGGCCTAATTGTTAGAGAGTTGGACTTGTAACCCAAAGGTCGCGGGTTTGAGCCACGGTACAGGCAGGGATTGTTGGTGGGGGGAGTGAATGCCACAACTGAGGTAAGACCCTTGAGCAAGGCACCAATGCTCACCGGGCGCCGCAGCAAAAATGGCTGCCCACTGCTCCAGGTGTGTGTACACGGTGTGTGTTCACTACTCACTGCTATGTGTGTGCACTTGGATGGGATAAATGCACAAATTCCGAGGATGGGACACCATACTCGGTTACACGTCGCGTCACTTTAGTGTGTTTTTAATGTAGTGGAACTTTTCCAGTAACGCAACTTTTTCAAACAAGAGAAGGTGCAGAGTGAAAAATCATGCTGTCTATCCGTTGATTCATCGGACTCATATGCAGTATTTGAGAGTTTATTTTAGTGACTTGATTTGTTCAGAGTTCATGTCACAAACTGATTAATTGATTCATTTGAGTCCCTGCTGTACTTGCATCTTTTTTTTTTGTAGCAAAATATTTAAAGTATGCATGAAATGAAAAAACTCACCTTATGCATTTTCTAAATGCATGTTATTGATCTCATTGTGAGTGATTCATCCATGCATTTGTTTCATTATTAAAAACAATTTTGACCTCTTTATTTAATCAAAATATAATAACTCGATCTTCTGGAGAAACTTCTTCTCTTTGGTCACGTATGCTGGACTTCTCCAGTCAGTTGGTCCACTTAAACCCTATCCCTTTCTTTCAATTGTCTGCAGTCTTGCATTCAGAACTGCTTCCATCCAATCAATAGAACCAAGTCCCCCTACTTTTTGTTTTTTCTTCATCTGTTTCACTCAGATGTACATCACAATATGGAAGAAAAGGTGATGCTATTTCCACTTCATTGCGACTTTAAATTCTGTTCTTTGTTACTGTTTATTTGACTGGTATTATTACTTACTGATGTAATTTTCCCCTTATATTACCCTGTCCTAATTGAGATCTTAATTGTTTTGTGTCAGATAAATGCTGCTCTAATTGTAAAAGTAAATCATATGATGGTGATAGTTTTATATTCAGAAAGATATTACCTTCTTAAATAGTGTCAATGTAGTTAGCCACTTTTTGTTAGTAAGTTATAGTGTATCCAGCTACTGGTTTAAAGTATAGCTTGCTTAGTGAGCTACAATTCAAAAGTACCTTCCACAAGACTTGCTAAAGTATCGGTTCAACGGTGCTAATAAATGGGCAAATCTTTATCAATATGAAAGGACAAACAATATCTAACTTAATTTATGTATGTACAGTATATCATTCTTTGTGTGTCTGCAGTAATGGAAAAGTTCGAGGTGGTTGCCCCTTCCTCCCTGCTGCTGAAATCAGAGAGTGCTGAAATACTGAGCTCTGATTCTTCAACCCAGCCAAAGGAGAAACAGCTCAGGAAGTGTGTGCTTGGTGAGTTACACAGTTATAGATTGCAGCTGTGCACCTGTACTTGAATTAGTCAGATGGACACTCAGACTTTTCATGACTAATGTTCATGACACATCCCTCTCTGTTAGATTGTGCCCTGGAAGATTCGTGCCAACATGTGGCTATTTTCAGTGATAAAGAGAAAACTTACTGTGAACTGTATAGCACAAGTGCGGATAATGTTGAATGCAGGACCTCTGAGCAAGTATGACCAAAATGCATGTACACTATGTGAATTGTATATTGCATAGAGTGTATTTGTTAAAGATGTCTATTTGTATGTCTTAAATTAAATTGTATATTATAACCCAGTCAGCTAATTTCAATATGTACTACCGTTTGGGATCTGTAAGATTTTTAATGACTTTGAAACAAGTCTCTCATGCTCACCAAGGCTGCATTTATTTGATCAAAAATACAGTAAAAACAGTAATATTGTAAAGCTGAATTTTCAGCAGCTATTTTTCTAGTCTTTAGTATCACGTGAGCCTTTAGAAATCATTCTTATATGCTGATTTGGTGCTCAAGAAACATTTCTTGTTGAAAATGTTGAAAACAGTGCTATTTCATATTTTTGTGGAAACTTTTTTTCAGGATTCTTTGATAAATAAAAAGTTCAAAAGAACATTATAAATTTGAGATTATAAATGCATTTTTGCTGAACAAACTAATTTCTTTCGTTTCTTTTAACTAATTTCTTCTTGGTTTGACAACCTCTTCAACATAAATCCTCATTTCTCTTTACATAAGCTAATAAATATAAAACATTGCACATTTTAATTGGAGAAATAAAACATTAAGGATATTTAAGTGTTATTTTTGGCATTGGGTCTTTTTTTTTGGTCTAGTGGCACATCTCCTTTCCCAAAAGTGTCATGATTATTGATAAAAAGAGTCTTGCGGTTTGTTTGGCATTGCAGAGCAAAGGGTTTCTGGGAAATGATGGCGCTGAGACGTTCCAGACTCTCAACTGTGTTCTGAAAATAAAAGGAGATGAACCCAATCTGATGGTGCTGAGAAAGAAAGGTAAGATCATCAGCTATTAATTATTAATTATAATTAATCATACATGTTCTCGGTTTGGTTAGTTATTGTGAGTCACCTGGACCCCTTATTGGTTGCACATAGCAATAAAATGTGGCGATGCATACAATATCATGAGAGTTTGAGTTTGTCTGAATAGAGAATTAACTTTTCTAGGAGGCAAAGAGCGTATTACAATAAAATATATTCAAGATACTTAATTGAACTGCAGTCCCAAAGATTAATTTGTGGTTTGTGAGTAATGATTTTAGCAAAGTGGTCTAGTCATCCGTGGACACAAGAATAAAGAAAATTGTAATAAAAACATTCCTGAAACTTGTTCTGTTATGAGATAAATATTTTTCCATGTGAGATAAATGACTTGATACTTTGAGACTCCTCTCAGGAACAGAGCTCCCAGTTTCTGGTTATTTTTGGCGGCCCAAAAGCATTTAGATGCACTTGTGTTTCTTGGCCATGACTTGAAGAATATCTCTTCTTTTTCTTTCTCTTTTACTCTCCACCCTTCATCTTCTGACAAAAGGTCATGAATTCAGCACAGCAGGCCTGAAGAGTTTTGAGAGGCTGAGTTTCCGTAAGACTGGTTCTGGAGTGTATCGGACGCTTGTGTTTGATGCGCATGGAACCACTCTGGCTGACGTCCATCGCTTCTGCGTCAACTCTTGCAGTCGTGAGAACTGCTGTGATGGATTCATCCTTAACCAGAATGTCCTCGATGGAGGTCAGAGTCACTTTCACTCAATACAAGCAGATGTAGCTCCTTTCCACTGCTCTAAAACCAAATCACTACAATACAAAACCAGACGTGTCATGCTTATTCAAATTGGTTAGGGCGCGTGGCGACACATTTCTTTGACTGTACCTTTACTATGTCTTTTGACTAAATCTTTTTTTTTTTTATTTAACTGTATGTATCACATCTGTGTTTTACGTTGTTAAATGGTTTGTGTCGTGTGGTGCAGGCTCTATCATGTGTGGGCTCCTGAGCACTCCTTCAGTGCTGCAGTGCAGTGAGGTAGACTGGGACGTGAGGGGCGTGGCCTCCTCCAGCCGCATCTGTGGTGCTGGTGTCCAATACAGCAAACAACTGAAACGTTTCACTTTCAACTTTGGAGGACAGAACTTCACCATCAGTATGAATCTTTGTATACGTACACACTCCAGATTTCATAACAGCAGTTTTAAACTGTGCACAAATTTGTTTAATTGTTGTCTAAAACGTGCACAATTTGGGTTGTTGGTTTGAGAGTTTACTCTGTGTGTTTGATTTTGACTTGCTCAATTATTACTGATGTGCAGTGCTTGAGAATCTTAGCTTTCTTATCATTTAAACTTTGTAAAATTTTACATGATTATGAATTCAATTGTATGACTTATATATCAAGATTTATGATTTTATGGAATGATGGGCATTGTAATGGAAATTAACATTTCTTGTAGCTGATGCAGCCTTACCGGCATCCAGCAAAAATAAAACTGGCTACCAGGAAACTCTCTTTAGCTTCCAACGTATCTACCTTTGGAAAGGTTTGGGCATATTCTGCACACATCAGCATGCCACTAATAAAGCATTTTAAATGCCTGTCATAAACAAAAGTATATATTTTGAGGCATTATGATCTAGCTTTTATTCTTGTATAGTCTAATGGTTATAATTTACGTCTTCAGAGTCTGATATGAACACGCGTCCAAAAACTCCCTCTGCTTGCAGTGGATCAGCTTTTGTAGAAGATTCCAAAATTACACTTTCTGGTATGAATGAATGAAATTAAGCCAAACTAATTTTATATATATATTTATTAAAGCATTTTTGTGTTCTTGATCTTATAAGTACCCTTATAATAAATTGTACTTTTTAAAATTAAATATTAAAATATAAAAATATATATTTAAATAAGTATTTTTTTTTTTTAACTCTCGGTTCACACCAATACACTTTCCAGGAGGCACAGCTGTGGTGTCTGAAACGTAAGATGCAATAGCTTCATGAGAATCTATTTGCTTACACCTATATACTTAATAAATGTCTGTGCAGTGCAAGAATGTTTCACATTCTGATCTGTGAATATGGGATTTGGGTTTCAGGCTGCGGAGAAGAACAACTCTGCCACGTATCCGACATTCATGATGAAGGCCCTCTGTATTTTGCATGTGTATTGTATCCTGACACGCGTGTATGTGGGGCGTATGACAAACCTCTCAGGCAGGCATGCAGTTTAGTGATGACACAGAGTCTTCAGACTGCATACCAGAAGAAAGGTGAGTCATTTATACACAAAAAGGCCACGCTTTCACTACAAGTGATTATTTAATTTATGATACAAAAATATGGTAATTTTAATTATTTACTTCTGTATGCAAAGTTATTTTGTTGTCATACCCTATTCCTCAGATAATCACATATGCTGTACACTATGTATTATGCTTTCATATTTCTCAGCATTAGATGTTTTCAGAGTTTTTTTCTCTGTCATTGGACAGATGGGTTTTGCATTGCCTGATGCAGGATTCATGACTGTGGTCTATGGTAAAGTCTGATGTCAGACTCTTACCACTTTCTTTGTGACTGAGTCTGTCGTTTACTTTATTTGTTTTCAGATATGATCCTAGCAACTGAACATAGAATGCAGATGATTCAGATTTTAGTATTGCTGGAGCTTGATAGAGACAGAGGGAGAAAGGGCAAAAGGAGACCATGATGATGGATAAATAATATCTAGTTTGAAGAGATTTTTTTTAATTGTCTGACCAACACAAAGGAGATTATCCCACTTACTAGACCTCTACTTCTCTAAAAATGTAAATAAATGGACATGAAATATTGATTTAATTTGGTTTATAATATAATATGATATAATAATTATTTTATGTTAGAAGAAAGAGAGATGTACATTTATTATGCAATTATCTTATTTTTCTACTGTTGCATCTGCAAACTTGAGTTGGAATCATTATCTCCTCTATTTGGAGTTCACTGGTCATTAGCCATAAAAATTAACCTTGTCTAGTTCTCATTTCACATTTTGTGAGCTACTGGTAACAGGAATTGTCTGAATGACTGGAGAACACTTCAGTGAGGTGAAGTGGCAAAACTCCACCTCACCCATATGGCATGCAGACAGCGGTGAGCTCATGCTGTCTGCGGTATGTGGAAGCAAAGACAAGCGCAATCTAATGCGACTTTCCACAACACCACCTGTAAAATCCACAATCTTGACATATTGTCTAAAATGGTACAGTTGACAGTGATGTCTTGATATTCGACATCTGCTAAATGCTTCTGCTGCTGTCAAAAAAGTGCAAATCTTATCTGTTGACATCTCAGAAATTGTTGCTTAGTGTTTCATGACCCTTTAAGTGTGAAATCTAATGGAAATTCCACCAGCCAAAATTCAGAGCGTTCTCACACTCTCACTCATGTAAAATTCACCTGAAGTTATTTTGTAGCAATTTAGTACTTTTCTATAAGTTTTTATGCAATCCATATGCTATAGTGTGCTCCTAAATTGCAACTTTTCTTTCACTTTTAGCAGATATAATGATCTAAAATTTACAAGAAAACTGAACTCGTTCAAGGGGACTGTAAATGTCTGCTTCTCTAGCCTTGGTGTATGATTTTTACCATTATTTACCTACTATGTAAATATACTTTTCTTTTTTTTCTTCTTTTTTTTCTTTTTTTTTTTGATTTTGATTTTGAATTTTAATACCATTCATCTTTATTTCAACATCTGCTCCATTCAACATTCTCCACTGTTTCATATTTGGACTGCTCCTGTAGGTGTCAGAATTAGACTACCCTGAAAGAAAAGCACATGGGAGAAACTGTCTGTATAATTGTGGGTTATGCATGTTGTTCATTGTTAGCCTTTAAATTAGAAATGGAAAAGTGGTGTTATGTAAGATTCGGTAAAGTGAGTGAGTGATCACACAGTAATGTGGTTATTCTGGATGTCTGTCTAAACTGCAGAACAGCTCTAGGATTTAAATTATGAGCAAATCACAAGTAATTTATTTAAACAGAAGTGGAAAGGCAGAGTGTCTCTCAGATAACTTAGTCATTCATTCCTCTCCATAGCAAAGACTTTGTACACTCTTTAGCTCCTTAGCTTTTCTTTAAAAAGGACTATTCATTGTGTACTATGTAAGATTTTATTAAGATAATTTTGTCTGGTTTTGTTTAGTACAAACCTTTGTATGTGTTTGGAGAGATGCTTATATGGAAATAAAAAAAAAAGTTAATTACATTTTGAAATTTAATTCTAAATGTAAACAATTTACTACAGTGTATAATATATATATATATTTTTTTTTTAGAATTATTTGAAAATGTCTTTACTGTCATTTTTGATCAATTTAATCCATCCTTGTTGGAAAAAGTTAGTTAGTTAGTTTATTTATTATTATTATTATTATTATTCCAAAAAGATAAAAGTCTTACTGACAACAAACTTTTGAACAATTTGAAATGCCGAAACAGGAATGTTTGGATTTGATAGTCCTATTGTGTGTTCCTGGAACACGAATGCAGTGATTTTCAGTCATAATAGGGGATCACAGGGGCTTGAATGTTTTATGGATTATAAAGTAATCCACAACAAAAAGGTGTGATCATAAACTCTTAACATGTGGTCCATCTGCTGTAGATGTTTAAGGGTGGAAAATAATGCTACCTTGGTGGAAATCTGCCGTAAGGGGTTTCTCAATGCTGTAAAAAATAGATTTTTTTGACCCAGCGTTTTATCTTAGCTTGTACTGAGGGAATCAAAGAACCTGTCATAATTAGCAAAGAGTTAGTTTTTTGCCCAAAAGCACCACTTGGAAGTTTCTATTTGTATAAATGTTCCACTGTTTGGAACATTAGGTCAAAAAAGACTCTTTTTACCAACCTATTACGCCAAAGTGCTTTTGATCAAGTTAGATTTTACAGCATATTTTTTGTTATGCATAATATGGACATCACTTTCTTTTTCTTGTGCAGTTTCTCTGTTAGGAAGTGTGAAGAGTTTTTACAGTCGTGTTCCTTTTAAGAAGATGGTGTCCTACTCTGTACGCAGTCGAGTCAGTCTGTCCAGTAAATCTATCACAGAAGGGTGAGGGGAAAACCAACAAATTTGTTTCCATCTCAGTTTATTTGTTTCCTTCATGAATAATGCTGTTTTACTTTTTCGAGCAGGTTTTTTGAGTGTGAGAGGCGATGTGATGAAGATCCATGCTGTCGTGGCATAGGATATGTCCAAGATTCCGGTGTACCTAGTATGAAAGAACCTTTTTACTCAAACGAGTCTCAAAATACACAGCTCATCTTGCTCATTCACTCAAAACATATGTGATGTCTAATCTGTGGAATGAAACCACTCACGTTTGGTCTCTCTGCTTTGCTTTTGTACAGGATCAGATGTGTTGTGTCTAATTCTGAATAGTCTGGGTATCCAGACGTGTGGTGAGAATGACAGTACTAACTGGAGGATTCAGGACTGCTCTCCATCCAAAGTGCAGACTGAAGTCTATCCCTTCGGCTGGTATGAAAAGCCAGGTATATCTGAAATCCATGTGCCTTTTCGAACTCTGTGTTTCAATAAATTGAGAATTCCCATTATGTGACTTGTTGAAGTAAATGACTTCACGGAAAGATTTTAACATCAGCTTTGTGCGTCTCTGTAGTAAACCAATGGATAAAGAATCCCAGTGTGTGTCCACCATTTAGTCTCCGCTCTCCCTCAAAGAACGGTAAGAGTCTCTTAAATGAATATTACCTTACTGTTTTCTAACGATGTATTATTTTTTATTACTGTATAATAATTGAATTCAATCATTTATGTAATTTTCACACGTCATTCTTGATCTCATTGCTTATTTGCAAGCAGCTGATTTGAAGAACTGGAAGCAGTTGGATGCCACCTCTGTCAAGGTGGATTCATCTGTTTCAGCTTTTGACATTGTCCACATAAGCAGAGATATAGCAGAGGATCTGGATAAAGTCAGAGACTGGTGTCTATCTGGTAACGTTTCTCACTTTTTTTTTTCTTTTCTCAGAACTTTTACAGGAAGCTGATGTGATAGAGCCACATGTTACATGCTGAACACATAGCAATTTGATGTAGCAAACAACATGTAGTTTACTTTTGATTTGAATAAATATTATATTACTTATGCTCACCAAGGCTGCATTTGTTTGATCAAAAATACAGTAAAAAGAGTAATATTTTGAGATATTATCACAATTTAAAGTATCGGTTCTATTTTAATGCGTTTTAAAATGTGATTTATTCCCGTGATGGCAAGGCTGAAATAATATACAATACATTAATAATTTATTTTTATTACATTTTAATATATTTTAACTGAATTAGTAATAATAATCACAATAGCATAACATTTGTGTTTTTTGCAATTTACAATACAGATAATATGTGGTTATCCTTGTCTTCTCATAACTTTCTTGTCTTCTGTAGCCTGTGAGGAAAGTGAGTCCTGTTCAGCTGTGTCTATCGATAGCAGAGAGTCAGCCATGAGATGTGTGATGTATCCAGACACACACACCTGCCTTCCTACAACCAGCGGCCAGCGCTGCTTCCTAGTCACCAAAGAGCCTGCTCAGTCTGTTTACGTCAGGACAGGTGGCACCACAAAACAATATTCAGTTTATTCAGAGTGTCAACCAGTTCAGGGTGTTCCTGATCTCCTTCACCCCAACAACACAGATGTTTAAACATTTCTTTATAGGTTTACAGCCAGAGTTGACTTCTGTTTCCATTCCTGATCACGGGACACTTCTCGGAGAGAGTGAGGTGAAACCCATAACTGGCTCAGATAGCAAGCGTGTAACCTATTTCCTGGGTGTCCCTTATGCTCGTTCACCAGTCGGAGAGCTCCGTTTCAGCCCTCCACAGCCAGCTGACTGGACCGGTACCTGGAATGCCACGTTTTCTCGGTGGGCAACTTTGTTTGCAGATTGTGAATTAACATACATTTATACCCTCAAATTAACTGGTTGCCTTACTGCAGAATTAATAAAGTCACTTTTCTGGAGTGTGATCTGATTTGTTTTATCAAAACCGTTTTAGATCCAGCTGTCTTCAACCTGGCGATCCCACTGACTCCACCTCCAGTGAAGACTGTCTGTACCTCAATGTATTTGTTGCTAGTAGTGTGGTAAGACCCACATGAGCTCAAACATGCATAAATACATATATACATATACATGTACACTACTACAGAAGTTTGCAGTCGGTAAGATCAAAATAAGTTTTACTGGCCCCAGACTTCTGAACAATAGTATATAATACACTCATTTAATTTAATGTTACAACTTTCTTTATTATGTTCTTTTTTCTCATTTCTCATTCTCATGGGCTTTTATGTATGTTAATACTGCTTTCATAAACCACTGTATCTGCTGACTGTGGTGTGAATGCTGTTATTGGTTTTTCATAGTACAATTTTTCTGTTTTGTCACAGGGAAAGAATGCTCCGGTTCTGGTGTTCTTCCACAACTCTGGATCGGGTCTCTTAGATGGGTCTTACCTCACTGCTGTTGGCAACATAATTGTAGTGACAGCCAGTTTCAGGGTGTACGCTTTCGGTTTCCTCAGTGCAGGTACCCAAAAACACAAACACACACACACACACGACATATACATGAAAGTGTTCATATATGCAACTTGATAATATTCCATGACTCTAGCCAGCCCCACAAATGTTTTCTATTTTAAATATATTTTAAATGTAATGGCAAAGCTAAACTTTCTATAGCCATTACTTCAGTCTTCAGTGTCACACGATCCTTCAGAAATCCTTCTGTTATGCTGATTTGGTGCTAAAGGAACAATTCTTATTATCAAAGCTGAAAGCAGTTGAGCTGACCATTTCTCACTATTAACTAGTTGCATATTACTAGCATATTGGCTGTTTATTAGTACTTACACAGCAGGTATTAATGCCTTATTTTGCATGACCATATTTTTGATCTCTTAATCCTACTCCATACTTAAACTTAACAACTATCTTACTAAATATTAATAAGCAGCAAATTAGGAGTTTGAGGCAAAAGTTGTAGTTAATAGTGAGAATTGGTTCCCAAACTAAAGTGTGACCAAAACATCTCACTTTCCCCAAACTTTTGAGTGAAAGAATACATCCATTGTATGATAAACATTTTTTTCCTGGGTTCTGGGTCTGTAAAGACTGAAAAACCTTGGTGTAGAGTAACATTTAGTATAGAATCCAGTAAATAACACAGTCCTCACCATTATGAGCCCTGAATACAGTCATCTTTAGTTTTATTTGCCCTTACTGTTGATGTGTTTATATTCATGCAACAAAAACGCGAATGCCTTCCTGAACACTTCATGCTGAAAAGTTCTGAAAATATTTTAAGGAATGAATCTCAATGTTATAAAGAAGTTTTTTTTATTATTATTATATATCCTACACTAGAATTAAACCATGTCCTGGAAGCTCTGTTGGGTTAGAATGAAATGACGTATTGCAAGAAATTGGATAATTTATTCCATAAAATGGAATTCCAAAAAAAAAAATGGAATGGATATGGTTACGGAATATAGTTATGTAATGTTCATGTGAGAAGTTCCATTCCGCACAGTGGTTGTGAAAATATTCAGATTCTTTTCCCCTTTGCCACCCTTGGCTGAGTAAGTTTGAAAAGTAGGCCTAACTGGTGCCTTTGAGTGGCCTGCCAGGATGAGCTTTCATTTTCCAGCCAAAAACAACATGCAGTGAAAGCTGTGCAGAAGCGTAATTGGCTTCCTTACATTTCTTGAACTGTTTGTGACAATGGTATTTCCCAGCCAAACCCCTGTGGAGCTGTGAATATTTTATTAAACATTAAAAAAATTATTATTATTGTCTTTATAGTGGATAGACTTTCACATGCGGGTTATAATGAAAAGGTGATTTTTCAGTCATTTATTGCAAATCTTCTTGCGTCATAGTTTTAATCTATGTGTGGAAAACACATTTGGATATGCCTGATGAATTGAAGTCTGTTGACTCTGTCTAGATTCCAGTGCTCTGCCGGGGAATTATGGGTTGCAGGACCAGGCAGCTGCTCTGGGATGGGTTCAGAAGAACATTGCTTATTTTGGAGGAGACCCCACTAAAGTCACAGTAGGGGCAGAGAGAAACGGTGCCGACATTGCGAGTCTTCATCTTACCTCACCGTCGGCTTCATCACTTTTCCACCGAGCTTTGCTAATGGTAAGAACAGAACTCTGAAGTCCCACTGCCGGTTACAAGACACCACTGTTTTATGTAACAACACTAATGTCTGAGGTCACATTTACAGTAAAAGCAACATTCTCCAATCCAAAAATAATGACACAAGGTTGCACAAGCATCTTAAAACGTTCAGACTCAAAGCTTCGTAAGCCTACATTTAAATAAACACATGCTTGAGGAACTGTTTTAAATAAATGTTCAGATGATTCTCTGACAAAAAGTCTCTCTCTTTCCAGTCAACACACAATGCCTTTATATATCCCTCTATCAGCTTTTGAGCTCTTGGAATGAATCAGCTGTGATCTATCAAAGCACCTCCTCATAGTTGTCTTCCACAGTAGCCAAACTGTCAAGCTGGTGGTTTGGTGTCATGTAGACAGACCTCCTCCTCTTCTTCATGCTAAATTTCTTTTTCTCTGGCTTCTCTTGCTGTCCCAGCAAAGACAGGTAGGAAGAGACACTGTTCTGAACCCCATAGCTGACACCTGAAGGGCTTGTGCTCTGGTGGACGAGCTCCGAGCTGAGTGAGGAAAAGTGCATTAGTATTATAGATGTTGTCTGAAAAGACTTACAGTTTTTAAAATGCTTCCATGTTCATATGATAGTTCTAACACTTATCAAATAAATGAATTTCAGTTTTAGTGGAGAAACAAAAAAGGAAAATTGTAAAATATACACTACGATTCAAAAGTTTGTGGTCAATAAGTTTTTTCCCCCCAAAGAAATTAATACTTTTATTCAGTAAGGATGCATTAAATTGATCAAATGTGACAGTAAAGATGTACATTAGCTACAAAAAAAAACTGTTCAATTGAACTTTTTATTCATAAAAAATATTATGAAGTAGCACAACTGTTTTCCAACTTTGACAATAATAAGAATGTTTTTTTTAGCACCAAATCAGAGTATTAGAATGATTTCTGAAGGATCACGTAAGACTGGAGTAAAGGATGCTAAAAATTCAGCTTTGCCATGACAAGAATAAATTAATTTTAAAGTAAAAATAGAAAACAGTAAATTTCAATCATTTTCACGATATTACAGTTTCTACTGTGTTTCTGGTCCATAAATGCAGCCTTGGTGAGCATAGATGACTTCTTTCAAAAGCATGAAAATATTACTGACCCCATACTTTTGAGCGGTAGTTTTATTGATCTTATTACCTGTTCACTGCTCTCCAGTCAAAGGATAATTTTCTCCCATCAGGTGTTTTTGTGATCTTACTCAGGGGTGTTTCACAGGCAGTCAAGCATGGGCCAGTTAGAACACAGCACAGTCCATCTGCTATATCTGAACCAGAGCAAGAGGGAAAAATCTGCATCAAACAGATACATCTTTTACACTAAAACTGGTTGTTTTTTGGTTTACCAGAGTAGTGTTTTTTTATTTAGTAGTAGTAGTAGTTTTTTTGATTTACCAGAGTAGTGGTTGACCAGATCTTCCAGACATTGAAATGTGAGGCGTGGAGCGATGAAGTACCAGTTGTTTGGCATTCGAACTATTCGATAATGCTTAATATTTCTGTGGCGCACAGATAAGGTGTACATACCTACAAAAATACAAGCAATGTGATTGTAACATCAGCCATATTATTGGATAAGCCTAAATATTATTTAGAAGATCCTTTAGATTGGTCTATTTATAAAACTCTGTCTGTCAGACAGTTTTAAGTGGGCGATTGTCATCCAGAATAAGCTGAAATATGGACCAGACCTTATGCTCTGGCTGTTTGGCACCTGACTAGAGTATAATGTTCATTTTAAATATGTATTCTGACCTTTTGTGCTCTCTCTGATCAGAAATGACCCCACTCGGTTTCCTGGGAGTTGAAGCAGTTCCTCAGCTTTTGGTCTGGTCACTGTTTCAAACAGCCAGCTAAGACCGACAAGAATGTTTCCATTAGCACTTAGAGAGCATTAAACAACTAGTAGAAGCTAAATGACAAGCAGCTCGTTTAGTTGGCGATTCAGAACCTACCCATGGTAGACTTTTGTGGCATGACAGTGTGGTATATGGTTCACTTCCTTAGTGTTGACCGAGTAGACCTTCCACCAGTACCCTTCCCTGAAAGAAAGTGAGACTTAATGCATGTGGACAGTTATGCTTCTCGTTTGCAATTTTAAAGTTTATAATGATCAAAAAACAACCTATTTCTATTTAGTGAAAAGCAGTTTTCTGTATGTGTTAAACGGCAGAAGGTAGTGTTAAAGTTAACACTGGCTTCAAGGTTTTGTGGTCGGTTGTGTATTCGCATATTGCGCCCAGCAACTGTCAGTGTTATTGATGGTAAATATAGTTTAATAACATACTATACTAACACTTCAAACATACAAACATTATATCTACACTTCAAACATACAATCTCTCTCTCTCTCTCTCTATATATATATATATATATATATATATATATATAGTATTTATCAAAGAATCATGAAAATTATGACTGTTTCCACATACGTTTTAAAGGGGTCATATGATGCGATTTCAATTTTTCCTTTCTCTTTGGAGTGTTACAAGCTCTTG